AAACTACTTGTAGCAACATTACTAGTATCGCTCAATTCATAGTTATCTAAACTGAAACTTTCATCATTTATTTTATTGAAATCATTGAAAGAACTATCGTATTCCATTTTATTTCGATATAAACAATACCAGTAATGTTGCAAGGAAAAAAATATCGCAAAAAATATCACAAAATTTTAAAGAAACATATAAAGGTGTTAAAGGAATACAAAAAAAAAACCAGGGGGTTTTTTTAATTACCTTAAATAGTTACATTTAAATATAGTTAAACTGCTGATTTTTATTTGACCTAGCTAGGTTTTAAAACTTGAAATCCAATCGGATACAAAATTTAGAATCCGATTGGATCAGATTTCGAAATTTGAAATCCGTATCCGATCTGTATACAAATGGATCAAAAAATTTAAAATTCGATCTGATTCGTTCAGATCAAATCCATGGATTATTTGGATTCAGATAAAAATTGTGATCCCTAACTAGAAGATCCCAATCACTAGAAATTCCAAGTCTTAAAGAAGCATTGAAAGTGATAATATGTAGAACAATATATAATGATCAATAAATCATCCAGAATAAAAGAGTATTACAGGTTGAAATAGAGGATTGGAAAACAAATAACATCAAAGATCATGTTGAAGAAAGTATCTATCAATCCCATTTAATTGAAATACTTAACTACAACAAGAAAAGAAAAGTATCAATGATATTCTACTTTAATAGGTCTCTTATAAGTTATGGAAGTATAAACATGAAAATGGATCAACATGAATATAGATAGAAGAGGCAGAAAGAGAAAGCAAGTTTCAAACTGGAAAATATAATTGGCCTTTATTCACTAGAGCAGAATTAATAGTAATATTTACTATATTACTAGTAGTCCTAGTAAATAGCAAGATCAAAATCTTTATAGATAGTCAAGTCTACATCTCGAAGTGAAAAACTATAGAAAAGGAGGATCCTGAAATAACCCACAAAAGATGGTTAAAAAAATAAAACTGGTTCCTATGGACATTTATATTGGATTTCATAAAGAAAAAGAAGCTTGATCTCAAGCTTACCAAGGTTAAGATATACTCCAATATTCAGTATAATGAAGAAGCCAATGCTCTGACCAAATAAATACTAAGATTTCTAGTAATAAAATGAAAAAAGTTGGTTTTGCCCAAGATCATCACAGAAATTAAATGGCAAGATATAGTACTAGACACTCCTATAAAACAAGCTATCAAAAAAATTAATAATAAAGTAATAGCCTATCAATAGACAATATAAGGTAGAACTGAAAGAAGATAAGACCAGCAAATTCAAGACCAATACAAATATACGTGAAACCTAGTATAGTAATATTTTAATAAAGGATATACATGGAATATCTTATTTAAAAGCTTATAAAACAAAAGCTTTCTCATTAAATTGATCAATGATGAGCTGTCAACACTAATAAAGCCGGCCATAAGAAAATCAGATCTCTATAAGTAAGTAAAATATATTATAAGTGGCCAGAAAAAAGAAACAATAGAACACTTGCTAGAATGTTCAACTTACAAGACTTAGTGAAATGAGGCATTGCAAAAAGGAATAGAAGGAGTCTTGAAAGGATTTAAAAGTTTTTTAAAAAAAGGAAAACTGAATAAGAAGAGAAAGAATTAAATTTAACAATAGATAATAAGATAGAAATAAGAGAAATAGATAAACAGATAGTTAAACTGGTAGAAAGGATATTAGAAATCAATCAATTATGATATACTCGGCTTCTATATGAAATCAATAGAGGAAGAATTAGTTATCAAAATAATAGATTTGATATGTTATGGCAAGATAATCAGAAAAGAAGCTAAAAAATGGATAATAAAGATACAAGAAAAAGTATGCAATTATTTGTAAAAGAAAATATGAAATACAAGATGTGAAAAGGTGATTAAATAGGAATAGAAATCAGAAATCTGCAAATATATCAAAATAAAAAAACTATCATATCTACGAGGCAAAGAAAGAAAGAACAAAAGTACAGAAAGTTAATTTAATAAGAAGCTAATATATGAGAAAAAGAGAATTAAAGATAAAAAGTTAGAAGAAATCCTGTTAAATAGTGTGAAGTATAATATGAAGTAGTTGGGTTTTGATCTCTGTCAGAGCTCAAAAGAGTGATTTGCAGTAGTGACCTGTAGGCAAAGATGTTAGAAGTTGAAAGGGTTTTCACTTGGACCTCAATAAATTACTTCTGAAGTTATACTTAAAGAGATAATATAATCAAAATAAGTAAGTTAGAGAATTAGCTTTAGCATTTTATTTAATATGTATAGCCTACAAATGCTTAATAAAGCACATATAACTAACTTAATAGAAGGTAAAAAAAAAATATCAAATTAAAAAAAATTATATTAATAGATAAAATTATAAAACAATTAAAAATTTTAAAAATTCTTTTTTTAAATTTTAAATAAAATTAAATAAGATAAAACTAATTAAAATAAGTTTTAAAGAAATTAAACTAAAATTTATAAATAATAAAAAAAAGAAGAGTAAAAAATAATAATAAATAGTTTAATTAAGAAATTTTGTAATTTTATAATAAATTTTATAAAATATTATTTTGTCAAAATTTAAAACTAAAATTAATTATAAAATATTTTTTTATTTATTACTATATTTATATAAATTTTTTGTTATAATATTAATATTTATATTGAATTTATAATTTATTATCAAATCTTTTTTTTATTTTATTTTTTATAATTACAATTGATATTAAATACAAACCTTTATTAAGAGTTAACTTAATCTTAGATATTTGTATCCTTGACATAACTTCAATTATTTTATATAAATTATATATTGCTATATATATGCAGATTAACAATAATCTATTGCAGTTTATCCTAGTTGAACCTACTACTACTCTGAGATTAGATAGACCCAATTAGAAACTGGTGATTAATAACAGTCATTAATAATAATATTGATATAATTAGTGGATCTTACTATTGATTTAGAAACAATACTATACTAACTTATACACTAGATCAAATTCTCAAGAGTTATTTTAATTACTCAGATACCTTGATATTTTCACTTGAACCTCAAAAAGAATTTTTAATCTCTTTGTCACTACCTGTGGTATCATAAACAAGTCCTGTTTGATAGATCCTTTATTTAAGCAAATATTAAATTGGAATATTCCAAGTTGGAATAGTTAGGTTTTGAAGTCTACTAATATAGTTTTGAAGTAGAAAATATTCAGATAATTACTGTAGTTCTAAAAGTGTGATTCCAGAATCTATTGATACAATTTGAGTTAGAGATGTGTTCAGATAATTACCATAGTCTTAAAAGTGGGGTCCTGAAATTTGATTTCTATCTAGTTCAAGGAATTAGGTTAGGCATAAATTGTGTAACTAGATTAGAAACCTTTCTTAATGCAATTCTTGTAATAATCTTTTTCAATCTGATGATTAATGGGGAGACCAAAAGTTTTATCCTTATACAATTTGATTATTTTTCTTATATGACCCTTATATGGTATTGAACTTTGAATCTTGTGATTGTGACCTAAAAGCACTATCACTGTGCTATTGATTCATAGATCTTTTTTTTATCAAATCTTTTTTTTTAATATTATATTAATACAATATAATCAATAAGTAAAAATTATTATTTAAAGCAAAATTGAAATAAGATAGATATATTTTTAAAAATTAAAGTTTTTGTAAAGTAACAATTTTTTTTTTTTAGATGATATACTGTATAAAGAAGAAATCAAAATCAAGAATAAATAAGTTTTTCAGATAATCAAAAAAATATTTCAATAAGATGATTTTTATTTAAAAAAATCTTGGAAATATAGATCTTTGAAGAAAGTTGAATCATATTTTTTATATTTTCTTTTTTTTATTCTTGTAATATACCTGTGCATTTTTTAAATATTCCTTTTTCTCCTTTTTTAATCCATCCCCTTGCATAGTTTTCTGTATTCTAGGGACTTGATAAAATAAATGATGGTGACAACCTGCTGACAATGATATATGAATTAAAAAGATGTTTACTCAAAATCTATAACAGAATGTCAAATTATTTCCAAGGTATGCCAATGATGAGTTTGTTAGATTTGTATAGAAGTTTTGCCGTAGTATGTATCATGTTGCTCAAATTAATATGTACTTGCGTATTCAAATGATTAATAAATTCTCAATCTAGCCTGGCTGCGAGTTATGCACAAAAAATTTTTTTATTGAGTTTATTTGTTTGTTTAACTTGCTTATAAAAGTACAATATACTTGTTTGGTTAATCAAAATCAATTGTAGGATTATCATGACGTGCTTTTAAAGTTGAAAAAAATATACAATAAAATCATTAGTATACGCAATGTATGCCATAATTTAAATTTTGATATTTTATAGTTTCCTCGAATATACGCGTAGAATCCAGGGCTCGAATGATCCGTGCACAAAATTTGTACGTGCTAAATTAGAATCACGTGTAAATCCGACACATGGGCACCTTGGGCAGCGGATATGAAAGTGAGAAATTCAATGGGTGATGTGAAGCGAATTACTGTAATTGGTACGACTGTAAACTTTTATAGCATATACCGTAGGTGGTAAAGAATATGAACATTACGATTGGAAACCAGCATATAAGTAACCTGTTTCAGTAATAGGGAACTTGAATTACTACGGTGGAGTAGGGGAGTTAAAAGTCCGATTAAAAGAACCGAGGTTGTTCAATATTGCAGATTTATTTTTCCATAATTAATGCTATTTCGGAAAATCGTCCGTTTTTGTGTGTCACCGATGATCAAATCGTTTCTTTATTAGGATATAGGCAATAAAATTCGTAACAATAATATAACTGATAAATCTAATTGTCGTAAAGTCAAAGTTTCCTTTCATAATAGTAATAATGACGTACTGCGTATTCCGTAGCATTGGCGTGTTTAAATGTTTAAATACTCATCCATCCAAATTCCATCTTGTTATTCTGTAAACGTCTTGATAACAAAATGATATTTGGACTTTGTTATTCAGTTCTCGGACAAGAATCGAAGCCTGTCCCTTTGAAAAATGTGGTTGTCGAAGCTAATGGTATATATTGGTCAAATTTATTTTCTTAATGTTAATTGTCTTGAACTCGGAAACAAAATTTCATCTTAATTCTGCTCTCAAGTTGTGGACATGATCGCCGAAGGTAAGCTGTTAAAAATCTTATTTAAATATACAGTACATGCTCATAATTTTTGATCTTCCTAACAATTCGATAGTCGCGATTTCCCAAACGTACATAAACGTTGAAGAAAACTCCATCGAAGCCATCTACAGATTTCCGATTCATGAAGCTGCGGCGGTGTGCTCTTTTGAGGTAGAGATTGATGGTAGGAGAAAGATTAAGGGCGTCGTTAAAGAGTCTGGAAAAGCGACCCAGGAGTATAATGATGCTGTTCAGGTGATTAGTTTTTTTAGTACAAGCAGAATTGTTTTAATCTTAATGTTTTATGTTTATCACTTACAGTATTGTCATTTAGCAAGGCCATGGCGCTTACCTCTTGGAAGAACATTATCCGGATGTTTTTGAGTGTAAGGTTGGCAACATCACCCACAAGCAGAAGGTTGTGATCAAGATAACCTATGTTACCGAACTTAAACATGATTCGGAAACCGAAAAAATTCGATTTGAACTTCCAACTCATATAGCCCCAAGATACCAGCCACCCGATTCCAGTGTCGGGTTCGAAGCAGACAAGCATTATTCTGTGGGTATCGGGGACGGTTTTGACTTATCGATTTCGGTCACTTGCAGGATGACTTCGGTTATTACTTGCATCGAATCACCTTCACATCATATTTCGACAGAACTAAATATCGATGGAAATCCGAAAGTCTCAAGAATTACTTTTGAAGAAAATGCGAAATATCTGGAAAAGGATTTTGTCTTAGTTGTCAAAAGTCAAGGACTCGATCGACCAAGGTATGAATGAGATCAATATACATGTTTGCTTTGAGGTGTTATCATCACATCTCGTGTTAGAACTGGCTTGTGATTGTAGAGCTTTTGTGGAGTACAACCCTGCGACGGACACTCATTGCGCCATGCTAACCTTGGTCCCTAAATTTTCCATCAATTCCACCGTTACAGAATGTATATTTGTAGTCGATAGGTCGGTTATTTTAAGGAAATACTGAAACCTTTGACTAATTGATATCATTTTTCTTTATCGCCTGATTCAATCATTACCTCGAATACTAAACACCGTCTCAATTAAAAGATCGGGATCAATGAATGGTGAACCAATTAAGAGTGCTGGTCGGGCACTGGAATTGTTTGTGAGATCGCTCCCGGAGGATTCATTTTTTAATGTAGTATCTTTCGGCAGCAATCACAGCTCATTATTTCCCCAAAGTCAACCATATTCTCAATCATCGCAATCGGCAGCCGTTAATCTTGCTCAACATATGCTAGCGAATATGTCCGGAACTGAAATATACCGATGTTTGGAATGGGTTTTTGCTAATACGAGATCCGATATGCCAACGGCCATATTCTTACTTACTGACGGTAGCGTTTGGAACGTTGATGAAATTGCGGAATTAGTACGGAAAAACATGAAACTTCATAAAGACAATCTTCGCGTATTCACTCTTGGTATCGGAGATTCCGTTTCGCACAATTTGGTAGAATCAGTTGCCCGTGCCGGAAAAGGATATTCCCAATATGTTACCAATAATGAAAGAATGGATAAGAAGGTTATTGGTATGCTGAAGAATGCTGTTAAACCACCTATCAAAGATTACAAAATCACTTGGTCAGATGCAGATCTCATGGAGGTTGAAATTATTCCTGAAAAAGAAAAGCCCGTCATCAGCTTCTTTAGTGATAACGATATCCCACCTCCACCACCTTTGCCAGATGATTTTGTCGAGAGGCTACAATTACGCCAAGCGCCTCATGAAATCCCGCAAATATATCAAGGAGTTCGATTTTTGGTGTATTGTATGTTTGCGAAGGGAGTTGAGCCTAGTCGAACCATTACATTAACAGCCACCTCACAAGATGGTCCGATGAGACTTGAAATACCAGTTGACCCGGTAACGTTACAGGGATCTAAAATACACACTCTGGCCGCTCGAAAACTTATTCAGGATTTGGAAGATGGGAAGTCTTTCTTGCACCTACATCCTAAATTTGAAGGAAAAAATGTTGGCGTATCCTCGGTGAAGAAGCAAATCATTGATTTATCTGTCAAGTATAATATTGCTTCACGATATGCAAGGCAAGAAATCGAAATCTAATTTCTTCACGAATAACCAACTGAATAAATCATTTGAAAGACTAAAAATTAAAAATTCTTTTCCTCGACTAACTAGTTTTCTGGCGATCGATGATCGGGATGTTGAAATGGATAAAGATAAGATCAAATCACCACAACAAAGAGTAATACCTCCACTTTTCATGGATCATCGTTCCGCATCTCAAAATAATTTTAGATCAAATTTCGGCGGTGCCTCTAAAAGAAGGAAAGCAGGGTTATCATTGCGTTCTTCCGCGTCCTCCCCTGTTGCCCGCTCAATGATGGTGGCTACTGCCTCCACGCCTGTTGGCTCCGCTGAAAAATCCAAGAAGCAGTATAGGCCTCCCAATTCCATTGGTTCCTTACTTTCGTCTGACCGCCACGCAGCCTCTATATCTAGTTATACCTCGCTCGCTTCCAACGCATTATCTGAATGTGAAGTTGCTATTTGTCCCTCGCTTTCGCCTGCCGTCGGCACAACCTCCACATATGAGGATGTGAAGAGATCGGGGAATCCAACCGTTCCTGATTCGGATTTGTTGTACGAATTTCTGAGGCTGCAGTCGTTTGATGGAAAATTCTTACCCGGCGAAGAGTTTTATTCCTATTTTAACCTTGGCGGCAAGGATGACGCCGGTAATGGGCTGAGGGAATTTGGAATTAAGAATGGTATTGAAGAAACGGTTTGGACCACAGCCGTGGCAATTAAATACTTGGAAATCGTCATGGGAGAAAAATACCTGGCGGAAAGTGAAATGTGCCGGGAGAAAGCGGAGAATGCTTTGAAAAAGATGACTGGAGAAGGTGAAAGAGAAAACAAGGTTTTGGAAGTTGCCCAAAGGTGGATCAACGAGTGGCACCTAATGGGTAAGGATAAGTGAGATTAACGAAACCTAGGTTGAACCAGATCCGCGAAGTTGCTTAAGTTTAAGAGGGATTATCAAAAATAAGAATATGAATGTAGTATAGTTTTATTTTATTTTATATTTTTTTTTTTATTATACATTTATGTGCATGTATGTTTATTTGCAAATGATCCTAACACGCATTATTTTTAACATTTAATTGATTCGATTGATTTCCTGTGATCTTCCACGTTTCATCTTGGTTTTAACAAAAGTAAATTTACATACACATCATCTCCTTCATTACACGATAAAGAATGCATTTGTTGAATCCAAAGCTTGTAGCCTGGGAGATGCTTGAGGAAAAGCTGACTGAAAAAGAAGCAACCGACACCGCTATTTTAAATCTTACGAAAGATTATAAAACAAAGTAATAATGATTTTTCGTGGCGACTCGATACAATAAAAGTATGACTCTTGGACCTTGTGAAATTAATAAGAAAAATGATCAGAGATATGTTCGGATCTTGTCGGCAAAACCTAATATCTTCTTAGTCTTTCTGACCGTTCACGATTTTCAAAGGATTTATTCGGATGCTCTTGTTGATGTTTCATTCGGGTCGCTCAAATTTATCTCGTGATCTTTCAATGGCAATTGACCAAGTAAATCTTGACATCGCAGAGCCTGTTCAACAATAGAATTCACACGTTGACCATAGGTGTCCACGACATGATCCTCAAGCTGAATGAACTCCAATTCATCCATCAATTCCTGAATAAGTTCAAGGATGATTGTAACTGATTTTTGAATGCATAAGCGATGCCGCACGTGAATAAAGAATGCGATGAGAAATTGAAGAGAACAATTCATTCATTTACTTGGAAAGAACCCCGAAGATTCTCTGCGCACGCACCTCTCGATCTAACAAAATTTACGATCTCATAGTCCCGAGAAGAATTTGATTGACTCTCGGAGAGGTCGACATAACGTAGAATTTGCGTTGTGATAGAGGATGCGGAAGACAAGCGAATCGTTAATTGCTCAATGTTACCCTCATTTTGTGATGGATCCGACGAAACCGAATCGCGCTTTCGCTTCATTTAATCCAGATATGTATCAATATTTTGACGTATTCTTAATGAGGGAGAGTGGTAATCGAAATAAAGTATGTACTGTGCGTACTGTATGTATCGTATTGCTAAATTCCGTGTATGTGTTTACGTATTACGTACGGTACTCTATTGTGACCACACTAAAAAAGGAGTTATCGGACACAATACGTGCGTACAGTAATGCCCGGAATGTTACGGATTGTGATCGTCATCACTGATATGAGTCAAACAAAAATTTTTATTCGTAACATGCTGCCATTTTTTTTTTCTTCAACAATTTAAAGTTAATGGAATTGAATTGGTTTTAATTAGTTCCCGATGCAAATTTGTCGAATTTAGTGTGTGTAATGAGGTATCTTGATAATCATTGTGTATGGAAATGTACCTTGCGAGAAAAATTATACAACTCTTCTCATATCGATAATATCGTGCGCGATACAGCTCTGGTTAAAATTGCGTACCACCTTTGAACTGTCGTAGATCACGTACTTGGAAGCACGCGCGTACTGTGTAAAGGATTACTTTGTTGTTCATTGCCTTCTCGCTTCCCTATCTCTGTCGGGGCAAAAGTAGATCTAAAGATTTTTTTTTTTTTTTTTTTTGGACTTGATCAAACTTTCATTGTCAATAAACTATGTTCCGCATTGTCTTGACACCACTCTCAAACTATTTCACGAAACTTGCACATAGCTGCACACCAAAAACAAAAACAATATGTAGTCAGATGGCAATGCAAACCCTCATTCGTCGTGGCTATAATTCGGCCACAAGTCAAGGCGATGTAGGAATATTTGACGACCTACCCATAAATTCGGAGCATCCCAGCTTTAAGAGATGTACTGCGACGCAGGTCGCAAAAGAGACTACTCCACCCAAATCATCGCTCATGCTTGTCAGAGATTTCATTGATGATTGTCTCTATAATCCGAATTACGGATATTTTTCCAAGCAAGCAGTCATCTTCTCACCAGACAAAGAATTCGAGTTTAACGAAATCAAGGACAACTTGGAATTCACAAATTTGGTGGCAAAAAAATACAGAGAATTTGAAGGGAGCCTTGGTGAAACAAGCGACAAGATCTTTCGGCAGGTTTGGCACACTCCAACCGAATTGTTTAAGGTGTGTGGAATCTATTTTCGATTTTTCTTTTTTTCTTTTTTTTCAACTACAAATTTCGTTTTGCGATTAACCGATGCACTTCACGCGCGTAGCCTTGGTACGGACATGCTATTGCCAAATACCTGGTCACCGAGTATAAATTAGAATCTTCGCAGAACGATTTGATCATCTATGAACTTGGCGCAGGGAATGCGACCTTGATGCTCGATATTTTAGACTACATCCAAAAATTTGAACCGTCGGTGTACAAGCGAACGAAGTATAGGATTGTGGAGATCAGTGGGAAATTGGTTGAAAGACAACTTCAAAACCAAAAACTCCGCGAAAGCAAAAATATTCATGATTGCGTTGAAATCATAAATAAAAGCATCTTCGAATGGAACGAGTTGGTATCAGATAATTGCTTTTTTTTGGCTTGCGAAGTGTTGGTAAGTCGATGAGTGATGATTTCTTCTTGGTGGACTTAATTCCATTCATCATTTTCTCATTATACCGTACCGCAGGACAACTTTGCGCATGACCTAATCCGTTATGATGCAATCACAGAGCATCCTCTTCAAGCCGTTGTGGTAACGGATGATAAAGGAGAATACGAGGAGCTTTATGAACCGGTCACTGATGCTCTGATCTTACGATATTTGGCACTTCGAAGTAAGACGACGTACAAACCGCCGGTACTCCAAAATCGCCTGCTTCGTCAACTCCGTAATAAGCTTCCGTTTGCGCCGAATATGTCGCAACCGGAATTCATACCGACCAAGGCTCTGGTGTTCCTCGAGATTTTAAAAGAATATTTTCCGAAACATCGGCTGATAATTTCTGATTTTTACAAACTTCCTGATACAATTAAAGGTGTGGATGCACCTGTGGTGCAGACCAGGTATCAGCAAACGATGATACCATGTTCGACGTTTATGGTGTCACCGGGATGGTTTGACATATTCTTTCCAACAAATTTTGAATTGCTGAGAGACATCTACCAGTTGGTTTGCAAGTCCAGTCAGACCGATGGGAAGATAGGAGTCTTGACGCAACGGGAATTTCTGAAGAGATACGCGGATCTGGAAAGAACAAAAACAAAGAGCGGCGAAATACCCTTACTGATGTATTACGAGAATGTCAAATTTTTATTAAGTTGAACGCACATTCGTATCATAATTATAATAATTTATGCTTTGTCTTTTGCTTTCCGAGTCTTGATTCTTTTTGAAAGAAATAAAATCAATCTCCTTATAATAATAATGATAATAATAATAATTCATTGTTATTGCCGTACTGAATATTGTATGAAGTTAATTAATGCATACAGTAAAGTAGCTGTATACGTGAGCAGTCGATTATCTCATACGTAACCGCATGCGGAGTAAATTTATTCTATTGGCTTGTTGTATTGATGTTTCAGTTAATTCCGAGATTTATTGATTGTATGCACATAACGACTTGATTTTTATCGAATCCTCCGTGAAACATCGAAGGAACCGAGAAAACAATTCTTTAATGATTTGTGTACATGCGCGGTAATCTTTGACTTTCAAAGTCATGTGATATAGAAATCACAATAAAAATCGTCAGATCATCAAAATACGCAAGACATGTGAACCTCCTACCATGTCCCTTGACCTCTCCAAAAATAATATTGAAAACTATGCCAAATTACTTTTGACCGGCGACTATGCGGACGTGATAATTCGTGTTGGTAAAGACCCGAATTATAAAGAGTATCAGGCTCATTCGTTAATCCTGAGAACGAGAAGTAGTTACTTCGAGGCTTCCCTGTCAGTGGTTTGGTCAAAGAGTGTGGGTAAGGATATGGTTGTATCTATGCCAAACTTTCGGCCAAATATATTTGAGATAATATTAAAGTAAGTAATATAAGGGGGGGTGTATTCAAGGATGTTATTGTGCAAGGTGGTTGATTATACCATATTTTCAAAGGTACATCTATATTGGTAAAATTGGTCTGGAAAATTTGAACAATGCGGAAATTTTCGACCTGCTGATTGCGTGTGACGAACTGTGCTTGCAAGAAGTCATTGATCCAATTCAAGATTACATCCTCGCCAATAAGCTCTCATGGTTGAATCAAAATCTCGCCCTCATCTATAATATAAGCTTCAAACTTTCAACCTTGCAAAAGTTGCAAGCCTATTGGAACGTGGTTGCGTGCCACAACCCAGACCTTCTTCTGAACTCCCCGGATTTCCTTCAATTGGACCAAGAAGTCTTAACGTACATAGTGAGACGTGATGATTTTGATGTCGAAGAACTGGAAATCGAGGAAATAGAATTATGGAGGAAACTCATTCGTTGGGCTGTTTTTAGAACTTCGAATAGTGACGAGATATCGAAAAAGAGCATCTCCGAGTTAAACCTCACCCCCGAATTTTCGGATTTGTGCCGAAATCTTGATCCATTCGTCAAATATATTGATTTCTACATGATCAATGCAGGAGATTTTTATCATTGGGTGAAACCGTTCAGGATCCTTTTCCCAGAGGATCTCTATGAGGATCTATTGCACTATCATCTATCCCCGGAGACCCATAAGGGAGCACTAGCTCAATATTTTTCGAGGCGTTTTAAGCCCAAGAATATTTCGATCGATTCGATAATAATAAAAGCTTACTATCTGCCCATAATATGCACTTGGATTAAACAAGAAGAAACGTGTTTTATCAAAACCCAA